GGAGTGTGAGAAAAGAAAGAAAAAAGGCAAATATTGTGGCCCTGTGAAGACTTAACAGATATATTTCAGAATGAGTTTTGATGAATTTAAATCCACTTCTTCAGGTGTCCAAGTGCATTCTGATTCCCAGATTTTGAAATAAATCTATAGGATCCTTGTGGCACAACAGTCAAAACTCTGCTCACAGTCAGTGTTCCATGCCAGCAGATTCCAGCAGCCAGCCTTGCATCCTTCTGAGGTCAGTAAAATGAGTACCCAGCTTGGAGGGGGGGGGAGAGGGAAATGTGTAGCCTGTATAACTATACTGTAAACCACCCAGAAAGTGCTTTAAGCACTATAGGGTCGTATATAAGCAGCACACGTTGCTCTGCTTTAGTCTTTAAAGTATCACAATAGTTTGCCCCCCCTTCTCCTTTTTTATTTTCCAATATGTTGCAGAGTAGTTTGAGGCAGCAATGTTTTCAGAGATGCCAAGAAAGCAATAGAAGAAAACTATCATAGGAGCTCTGAAAATATCTGAGCATGTTACCATGGGATGCCCTTCTGCACTATATGTGCTAGATCTCCTAGGTCATCAACCTTTGGGTCTGTTTGGTGGTGGTTACCTGGGCAAAAGATGCAGGGCTAACTCTTGATGGGAATGGGGCAGTTTGTTCTTCATATGCCAGATGGAAGTTTAGGTGTTGATGTTGTTGTTTTGTTCATTTTGTTTCTCTCTTGCTTTCCGACCACACTGCCCGAGTTGGATTTGATGCAGTGCACATGCCGGTGAGCCCTTCCACTCTAACGGTTATCAGGAGCACATCCTTTCACCCGCGTTTACCCAGCTACCAGTCGCAAAACGACCCCCCCCCCGTGAGAAACGAAGGTGTAGGAAAAAACGAGTTTTTCGTACACAGAATGAGATGCAGCAGCTCCTTACAGGCACAGCAGAGCATCCGCTCCTCGTCCCCGGGGCGCAGCTGGCACAGCCCCCGTCTTGGGCGGCAAAGGCGGAACCCCTTTCGAGCCCCGCTTCCCCTGGACGGTGAGGCAGGTGTGCTTCAGCCGGCTTAGCTAGCAAGCGCTGGTCTCATCTCCAGCCATTTTGAAGCCCCCCCCCCCCGCATCCAGCTTTTACGATTAACGCGCGAGGCTCATTAGCCACCCTTACGCGACGCCTGCCTCAACGGGGGGAAAGAAGACAAGACTGAGCAACAAGCCCCCCGAGAAGGCTGGGCTGAATGCCCACCAGTACTGACGGCGAGCCTGAGAGGGATTTAAAAAAACACACAACGTCCTCTGAAGTCCTACCGGTCTCCTCACCTTCAAGGACTGGGCTCCAGGCGTGGCAGGGTCGCTGTCACATACCCGCGGGGAGAGGACGGCCGCCATTACCGCTACAGCCGCCACCGACCACGGATGGGCGGGGCTAAATAGACCATTTGTTCCAACGTCCCCGCTTCCCTCCGGTGTCTCCTGGTCCCTGAGCGCCAGAGAACAGCGCCACCTACACGCTGGGGGATGGCAGCGCAGCCGGCGTAGCGCCTCCAAAGTTCTTTTCTGAGCGCCTATAGAACTGTTGGCCCGACCCGTTTCTGTTCGCGTGTGGAAGGAAAGCGGGCTTAGCTTTAGCGGAAAGGGCCCGGCACAGTAGATCTCTTGTTGGCACGACCTCAGGACTTTAATATAGTCCAAACAGACTTGTTTTTTCTATACATTAAACGCATTTATTACTTTGATGTCGCCCGAACTCCTTACAAATTTCTTCACCGAAATTTTTCAAGCCCCTTTGTAAAATATGAAAATTGTAACAAAGATATGCATAAGGACTTACAATTAATGTCAAGGGAAAAAAGAGACCCACAGAAAGTAGATTAAATTTATACAAATAGTCAGGTAAGTAATTCTGTATTCTGTCTATGACATTATAAAAACACATCTGACCATTTATGGAGAATATTTCTTCCCTCTCAATGACTGCAGCCCAAGTATATTTGTGATCATATAATTAGTCTATGCTTTTTAGGAATTAATTACTTTAACTACTTCAGGTAATTAATTACTTACAGAACAACATACATACATGGTGCCCAATTGTTTAAAAAACCCATTCGATTAAAATTTACACTTGATCTGCTTATTTTGATGATGTAAATTAATTTTTACTTATGTCTTTATACAAATCACCTTCCAAAACAATTGTAGTAAAATGGCCAGTCAACATCTTCAATAAGAGGTATGGTATTTTTTTTCCCATATTTGACATCAATATTTCCTGCTAAAGGTATTGTGGCTAGGGAGTATACAGTACTATAGGATAATAATTTGTGGAATACAGTCTTAGGTGGATTATGGTCTATTTTGTGTCCTGTAATTTAGTAGGTCACTTATAATCAGCCCTCCCCTTTTTTCCTTTTCTTTCCCCTTTTTTTCTGTTTTCCTTTTCTCTCCAGCTTTTTTGTTTGATTATAAATCATCTGTAAAGTGGCAATAATAGATCCTTGACACTGTCTTGTCAATAAATACCAGAAAAAGAACATTTCCCTTCCCCCTTCTTGCCATAATTCCTGGTTTGTGAGTGTGATAGAGTTGAAGCAGTGTGGGATATGTAGTCAGAGAAATGCAAGATGGAGTCAGACAGGTTCTGTGTGAAGATGATTCTGTGTGAAGAAGACATTGGAAAGTGTTCTCTAAGTGCCATGAGAGTGCTTTTTTGAAGACCGGTATAGTGTGGTTCGAGAGAAAGCTGAAGGTCGGACCAAGGAGCCCGTGAAAGACGCAACATTCCGAGCTAATTGGAGAAGAGATAAAACACCTGGATCTTCATGGGAACTAAAGGCAGAGGAAGGGATTACAGCCCCTTGGGGCTAATTGGTTAACAGCCATGAAGTGTCAAGAAGAAGGGAGGAGTTAGAAAATGTGGAAAAGATGGAAAGAGAAGTGCGTAAGAGAGCGCTTAGCTACAAGCTAATTGATTTCTGAAGGATCTGAGAGATGATTATTCTTTCTAGAATGCATTATGTAGTTGAATGGTAAAATATGTAATCACCAGAAGAAGGTGGGGTTAGCCCACCTTAGCCCATCCTAGTACTGTTTCTTATTTTAATGGGGATTAGTTATTTTATTTAACTATAATGATCTTTGAATATGTTCTTTATGCTAAAGCTTCGGCAATATAAAATGATTCTATAAAACTCTATTTTTCTAATAAAAATTAACTATAAAAATTCTTACAAAGGACTGGTGTCTTGAAAGAGGATCTTTAGCAGGATCTGGCTAAATCCAGGAAGGTGGAGAGGGCCACAAACTAGCTATCATTGAGAGTCCTACTTAACTGAGCTGGTGTGAATTCTAAGGAATCATAAAGCCCATATGTCTGTACTTGCAAAGTACTGGGTAAAAGTAAAGTGTTTTTTTAAGGTCAGACTTGTTCAAGGGTTACACTATGCACTGCTGAGGTCTTGGGACTTGCCGCAGCGCAAAGGTGGTAAGTAAGTGGTCTGTGGAAGTCTCTGGCCGAGTGTTAAGTGCCCCTTAGGGAGGCTTGTGCACCACAGTGAGATCCAGTACTACCCTGCTTCCCCCAAAATAAGACCTAACCTGAAAATAAGCCCTATTACGATTTTTCAGGATGCTCGTAATATAAGCCTATGAGGGTTTGCTATTAGCCTCCAACTTTTGCTCAAATAAATCAGGAGTCATGTTTAATCCAGCATTCAAACTTGGGGATTTAGCTTCCCAAGGTCCTGGAACAAAAGGGTCATAACTGGGAACTTCGACCTCAGTTCCTTCTTCCCTCAATAGCGGTAGTGTCTCATCATCTCCGTCTTTTCTCCATCTTGGATCTCCCTCTCCTGTGTCCCCACCGTCCTGGAGGTGCATCATCCTCCGTGCCTCCTCCACTCGCCATGCCCGATGTGCCTTGGATTCCCTTGCCACCGCCTCTTTCTCCTCTCTGTCTTCTCCTCCACTCTCGTGCCTCGGATTCACCCCAGTACGATGGTCTTTGGGGTAGTCCTCGTCTACAGCAGTAATATGCCTCTTCTTAGGGTACTTTTACCTTTTCGCATTTCCCCATCCATGGGTCCTCCACCCAGATGAGTTCCCAACCCACCCCCCGTATGTTGTCGTGGTCCCTGTTTATAATCCCCATTCCTGCCTCCACTACGGACCTCCCCTTCTCTTTTCCTGCCAATTCCCTCTCCGTTTGCGTTGCCACAGTCAGACCCCGCAGATTTGTTTCCAGCTCTCGGGTGTCTATCCCCTGGTGTATCTTTCTTGGAGGGGTTGGCGGCGGAGTGGTCTGCATCTCTTTGGATGTCTTACTTGGGGATGGCACTCCAACAAGAGCCTCTATGCTCTCGTCCCGCTTATCACAAAGCCCCACCCCAAAAAGTAGCCTGTTAAGTTGAACCCAGCCCTCCACCATTGTGCAGCATTGTGCAGCAACCAGAAGATGACATGACTGTATTTGAATAAATGTAGATGGTTGTACATGAAAAAAAGAATAAAACATATGCTGAAAATAAGCCCTGTTTTTGGAGCAAAAGTTAATATAAGACCCTGTCTTATTTTTGGGGAAACACGGTATAGCTGCTGGTCCTAGCACAAAAAGGTTTGCCTAATCATCATTCTATATTAAAGTCACATACAAGATACATCAGTCTCTCACATTATCTTTGTTATTTTGTGCCATCAGGTCTAATGCAGACTAATCCTAACAGGGTTTTCGAGATATATGAGATGTTCAGGGACTGATCTACCACTGCTACACCCTACAGAGTGTGGAATTTGAGCTAAGGTCTGTTTGTAAGGCCTAGAAATTAGATGCTTGACACCCCCAGGAGTCCTACAGAAATTCCATAGACCTCCAGGGAAAAATAGGAAGTCTGTGTTTGTCACAAGTTCTGTTTATCCCAGTAAAAGGTTAGTCCTAGAATGAAACCAATCAGAAAATTGCCCCAGTTCTTGGAAGCACTCTTAAAAATTAATGCCAATCAAACAGCAAAGTTGGGGGAAATGCTGTTGACATTTACTGAGCAAATACAATATAACATTCTAGAGAACCACAGATATACACTTTTATTACACCACTTTCCACAAAAACATTATTCATAATAACAGGCAACTATCAGAGCCACTGCTACATAGTTCTCAGTTTCATGTTGAGCTTGCACCCAAGTGTCTCTTGCAACATCCCAGACCCATCTACTGGCAATCTGAGTAAGAGAGAATAATATAGTTGTTACTTGATCAGTTAACCCAAGTAAAACTAACATTCATATACATGCATATATACAGTAATCTCACCATGCTTTTTACAGCAGAAAAATCTTACATTTTTTTTTAAAAAAAATACAGAATCAGCTCTTGGGTACTTCTACAGAAATACTTGTAAAACACAAGTATCACTATTTCAGAAATTTACAGGGTATCTGACATGATTCAGTCTGCAAATGGGAATTTAATTTGTCCATAAACAGAGTTCAGATGGCTTCAAAAATCCAAAATGCTCTTAAATCATGACCAGAGACTCAGAATTATTTTACAACACGTGATCAAAATATGTAACTGAAGTTCTTTATTTTGTTATACCTCATAGCTGACTGCAACACCAAATCCTGTTTTTCAGGTCCCAGACCCTGTGGAGTAGAGGGCCTTGGTGGATCTACCTGTAGGTCTCCAATGCTAAAACCATATCCAAAAGCAAAAATAAGACTTTTTAACACCCTTTTTTAAAAAAAATGGGGAACTCTCAGGTGGTGTTGGGGCCACAAAAATGTCCATGGGGCCTGTGAGACAGTAGGCGAGTCGGGATTCCCACTCGCTGGAGCGCCATCCCTTCTTGCCCCAGAGACAGAGAATGGAGAGGAAAGAGAACCCCGACCTACTCCAGTGAAAGCACCTGAGGAACCTCCACTAAGTGCAGAGGTAGAAGTAAGCAAAGAGTTGAGTGGGATGGAAATAAAAGAAATGCAGAGGTAGAAGAAGTAAGGAAAGAGTTGAGTGGGATGGAAATAAAAGAAGGACCGTTAGAAGAGGTGGGAAAACAGAACAAAAGGAGAGAGGAGATAGAGGTGGGGATAGGAGAGGTGAGAGAAGAAAGGGAGCAGTTGCCTCCAGGTTGGGAATGGATCTGGCTGCAAGATTCATGGGCCCAAAGGTGGGAGAGACTGAGCGTACTTCAAGAGGAAGCAGACTATAGACAACCGTCAGTGATTCCCCCTCAACCATCTTATCGGGGAGAGGCTGAGGTGAGAGAGTGGAGGAGAAAGTCGAGAGAAGAGAAAGTGAGTTGAAAGGGAAAGGCAAGAAATAATTGAATGGAGAGTACAAGAGATGAAGAGAATGGCAGAATGCGAAGGACTTGGGAGGTGCTGGAACCAGGGAGAGATGCCCTTTGGGACAACCCCCTTGAAGGCAAGGCCGTGACTCTGCTCCCTATACCGACGGGCACGTCCTTAAAGGAATGGACTCCTCTAGAATTACTGGGACCCTGGAATACCAGTTATAGTAACCCCTTCTTGTTAGATGGTTGGAAACCCCTTCCTAACCCGTTGGAGGAAGGAGAAAAAGAAGACACACAAGTTCAGGACAATTGTTTATTTCTTGGTTCGAAAATAAATGTTTCACAGTTTCCCTTGCAATTGGTGTCGACTAGAATTATTCATAAAAAGGACGATCATACTGCTGAACCCTCACAGGGCCATATTGACCGTTTATCACATGTTGCCCACCCCCCACCCCCTTTAAAGCAATGATTCCCAATCTTAGATCCACAATGCTAGTAGACTACAAGTCCTGGAAGCTTCAATCAACATGGCTGATGATCACGGACTCTGGAAGTAACAGTCCAACAATATCTAGAAACCGAAGTTTGGGGATCACTATTTTAGCTTCTTTGGCATTTTTTAAACTAGGTGACACACAATAAAAGTATATAGAGTGATTAACATTATGTGTCAATAGAGAGATATTTGTTTTCTTCTGTCATACTAGAAACAATGAAATACACACATAGTGTACAATTAGTAACATAAGGGCTGGTCTTATATTTGCTCACAAAATTGGTCCATCTAGTCCAATATTGGCAACTCTGACTGGCAACAGATCTTCCCCATCCTGATCTTTAGTTGCTGGGAATTAAGTATGGGACCTTCTGCATATAAAGCATGTGATGGCTCCTTTCCAATAGGGGCCTCCCATTCAAGTATTACCCCATCTGATCTTGCTTTCAATTCAAACATGTTCAAGTATGGTGGTGCAATACCATATTAATGGCATTTATTTATGGAGTCACTACCAGAAAAAAAGAGCATCAATGGGCATTTTAAAAAAATGTATGCATAACTTTAAAAAGCACAAAGACAAAGCGCCTCTACTATATATTGAGAACTGCAAGGTTGGAAGATTGTTTCCTCTTTCTACTAAGTATTTGGTCAATATGTAAGCTGAACCATAGAAATTATGGAACACAGAATACATGAGATTATTCAACAGTAACAATAAGGCCAAATAGCCAAGCTATATTTGGTTTCCATCACATGGTCTTGATATAAAGAGTAAAATAAAAACACATATGTGTAAACTGACAATTAATGTTAATGTACATTTTGCATGTATGACCTGGCATTCTGAAATGGTAATCAGAAATGGAGTGCCTTAGATTTATAGTTTTCTTTATGTGAAGCAGCATTCTAAATCAGATAATGAATCTACATTGGCCTAATTTGGAATCAGCCTTGAAGAATTTTAGCTGCAAATGAGCCGGACAACGGAACAGAACAAAGAAATAAAAAAAGGATGACTCCCTGGAAAAGGGCCAGCCTCTTCCTATCTGCGAGCTCTTTAGCTACCTGCTATTAGAAGCAAAATGTTGGATGACATGGACATTGGATCTGATGTAGCAAAGTGTTTCCTCATGCTTTAGCAATCTCATGAACTCCCACCTAAGAAGTGCTTTGTTACACGGCAGTGCAGAGGAATGAAAAAGTTACAATAAAATCCTGTACCAGCAAACCCCATTGAATTCCATGAGATTTACAGTGACAAGATTGCAATGGTTAGGCAATTTTTCTGAAAACTGAATATGTGTTTACTCACATGTACTGACTGACCAGTCTTTTCCACAAGAAACACTTGAACTATATATTTGTAACGATCATAGCCCAGCTCTTCAAGAACTGCTAAGATTTCTTCTGCAAGGCCTGTGCATGTGGTGCAGCCCTCAGATCCACTGTATTTGAAATCTTGAAGTTTAGTCTATTAAGAATTAAACAGAGTTGCCAGTATTAATATAAAATATTTACACACAGGTGTTTCAGATTTAATTACTATGGTATTTTAAAGTGGTTTTGTAATAAGTCCTGTTAACAAAACCATATTCAATTATATAATATTCAGAGTAGTGTATTTGTGTCTGAATGTAAAAGATTCCTTTCCTCACTCATGTCTTACCATTCGCACTTTGCACAATATGCCTTTCCACTATACTTTCCACTCAGTTTTGCCTGTCCCTCACAACTGGCAAAAGTCAGCATTCTGTGCTCAATGAGCATACTCAATTCTCTTAAGGCTGTCTCCCCTTTTAGGAACTTAGGAACAATTTACTAAATATTTTGTCATCCTTCTGCAAATGTTATATTCCTCATGCCCAATGTCAGTCAACAATCATACTTACTCTACCTTTAGGATCCCTTCGACTCTCTTCCTTATTACATGAACTTCACATTTTCTGTAAGGCTCCATTCTGTATGTGTTGCCATATCTTGGCCTTGCAAAGCTGGCCTTGAATGCTAAGAGTTCATTTTTTGTAAAATCTGTTGTGGAGTCGTCATCTGGTTCACTTCCTGAAACATCGTGGCTTGAAGCTCTATGTTTAGCCATCTGTGCAGCCGGGAAACACCAACTTGAATTATTTTAGAATATTTAATCACACTTAGTTTAATCATAGTTTAAATAATCATAGATTAAAATACTACTGGTGTTAAATAATAATGCAAAACTTTCCATTTTGAAACCACTGCCAGCCATTTTAAACAAACACTTGGCAGAGAACTTTTAAACCTCCAAATCCATAGTTTCTAGTTTTGAAATCAAAAGAATACTTTCTCGACAGTGTTGGAGTCAAATCTGGAAATTCCAAGTTCAAATTCTCCTTTCATCATGATCATGAGCTGGTCTCCCATCTGACTGCTATCGCTCAGCTTAATCTAGATCTCATAGATGTTATGAGGCTAAAATTTGGGGCAAAGATGAATGTATGAGGTCTTTGGAGAAAAGGGTGAAAACATAGTAACTTCTCTTCTGAGCCTTTGAAATTTATTGACTTTTGACTCCTTGGAAACATGTATTAATGGAGTTGATGGTAATATGCTATAACTACCTTAACTGGTCACACATTAATACAGAGAGAAGTCCCATTAATGCCTCTGGTCAAAGATACTTTCCCAATATCTTATAGTGATTTAGAAACCTGCAAAACTTATTTGAACAGAGAAAGTAGTGCAATAAGAAGAAATGAGGGTGACTATCTGTGGCAAAGATAACTACATCATACCATAATCTTAATTTTGGGGTCCTCTGAAAAAAGAATGCCAAAACCAGAGATTCAGTAATGCTGTGGAATAACGAAGCCACACATGTGACAAAGAGAGATTTATTTATCTCAAGAGGATGCAACAGAATCCTGCAAAAGAGAACAATCATGCATCTTAAGGGTCTTGGGTTCCCAACAAGCCTACTGCTGTCCCAGAGGCATTTTCCTAGCCACATGAGTGGTGCTCCTTATAGAAGACAAAGGCCAAAATACTGACATAGATTATGTTCCACTTAACTGGCTTGACAGTTAACAGAACATGGCAAACCAGGAAAAACACAGGAATGGTTTGTCATGCATGAACTGCTTGCACTAGGAGGAGCTGAACAAACCATGAGGTTTTACTCCATAGTTTACTTACCATGTTATCCTAACACACATGTAGTTTCCTCTTTGGTTTCTTTCTTTCTCAATAAACTACAGAAGAAAGCCAGTCCCAAACCCTGGATCCCTTCTGGTTTATTGGGAGAGAAACAACCCAGATAGAAAGCTGTGCCCATTTGGCTGCCACTGAAAGCATTGATAGGAACACAGCTGGGGGAGGTTTAAAACTTTACCCCCTTTCTGCAGCTCACTCATTCCAAAGATGCTATTCTTTTTTGTTCATAGCAGCAGTTGGCTGTCTTTTCAAGCCTGACAATAAGTCCCTTGGTCAATCTCCAAAGGCTCAGGGTAGAGATGGGGGCATTCATATACAAATACAAATATCCCCACAAAGGTGGAAATAATGATTTTGCCGCTGCCGCCAGCTCCACTGAGGCTTTGCAACATTGCAACAATGAGACTAAGTTGCAAATAAGATGGTTCTTTTTCAAATCTCATATCTGCCTTGAATCCACTACATGGGAGCCATGGAGGGAACCAGTTTCTCTGAGTCTCAAGTCCCCTCTCTGCTTGCAGCAATTACAACAATTACCACTTGAGAATGACACACATCTGCTACATATAATTACTTCTCTCCCCTCTTGCTCATGAAGGAATAAGACAAAGGGTAACAACAGTCTGAACCTTGTTGTGGCTCATGTCCAATCTGACCTGAACCACAGCGAGGAATAAGTGAAAGGAGAGCAGGGCAGTTTTAAAAGGACATCTGGGCTGAGGCTGAAGGCCAGGTATGTTTGAAATTCTCAAATTCTCTGATTCTATCTCTGGCCCTAATATGGTAAATAGGAAAGCCAATTAGATTTGCATACACCTGGGAGGCAAGAAAGTTCTAAGGGTTGGATCATACTTCAGCAGTATTAAAGAGCAGGCCGGGTAGGTAGGGCTCGTCAGCTATGGAAGGCAGCCCATCTAGGAGAAGGAAGACTCTGATTTCCAACCTCTGCTGCCTTGCGGCTATATCCACTCATGGAAAAGGCTTCAGGAGTTAACCTAGAGACAAAATCCGGAGCTGGAGTCCCAAAGGCAGTTCGTGTTGTTCTGCCAACTCCTGCGACGTTGCTGGAACCAGTTACCAAGATTCTCTAGATGGGGAATGTGATTGTCGCCGTCAGTGAACCAGTGTTTTAGATGCCGATCTTGACTTAGATCAGTACTAAGGGACTTTTTATGTTGATCTTGAACAGGACCCTTCTTGGCATATGGGCAATGCTTGAACAATACAAAGAAAATGGATATCAGGCAAGTCAGAGCCCAATCTCAAATCACATATTCTTTGACACGCTCTTTGTGAGAAGGTTTTGTTAAGTTGTGCATGAGGTATTGGAGAGCCTGGCTCAGTCTTGATTTGGGAGCTGACACTGTGGAATCTTGGAATCACAAACCAGTCTTGGTAGCAAATGGTGTTGTAGATGTGCTCCTTCACAGAAACAGAGCTGGCATAGAGTACATAATCTGCATGCCCAATAGCCTGATCAGAAGTAGGGTGAACCACTACTGATGGAATCAGTGGTTTTGTTTGGGTTTTATCTTTCTTTTCTTTTTTACTTATTTGAGGTTGATTTCAGTTTATTTTCCCTTTTTCTATTGGTTAGAATCTTTTAATTCCATTGACATGGGTGACTTGTGAGGAATTGAACCTTTCAGTTTTGAAATGAGTTTCAAATTTGAACTTCTAGTGACTGGGTCTGATGGAATACTGGCTGGAACAGCAGACCAGTCTTGCACTGATAAACTCCAGTAGTGTCCATAGCTTTAACTGAGCCTTTATCTGGTTGAGAGTCAGTAAAACTCAAATGTTTTTGTGACTTCTCTCACAAGTACAATTTTAGTTGGGGCTCTTGAGATAACCTTTGTAAATTCCATGCAAATGGAACAGGTCTTCACTGTTACTGAGGCTATAAAGACATCTACAGTAATATGTTTGCCAGTTTGAGGGACTTTTGCTCTGTGATCAGGACACTTCTTCATTAAGGCTGAAGTAGCCATTAAAGTGGTGAGAAAAACCACTGAGGAGAAGGGAAGGGTGAGAAAGTGGGAAAGAACTTAAATTAAATTCTCTTTTTCTTTTTTGGGATGTAATGGCGAAAAAGAAGGCAACTAAATAGAAAAGAAAAACTTACAATTGGGCTTAAAATAGGAATTTAGAACAAACTTTAGGCTCTGAGAGGTGTTGCTGCTGTGGTAGACAGAAAGGAGCTGAGGCAAGGGGACTGGGCACACACAACCCCCCTTGCCTCAGCCTATGCGCAAGAGGAAGAGAAAGCTTTGGCTTTTCAGGCTGGAGAAGATTCCAGTGGTGGTCCACACAGGTGTACCTAACCCATGTGTGTAAATCACATAAGACCATTAAAAAAGCACATTTGCAGTCCTCAAACAACAATAGGCTGGCCATATTGTTAGGATGTTGGGTGCCTTTTGCCTAAAACATATCTGCTATGCAGAGCTCATTGCAGATGCTCAGTTGGGTAGTAAACAAGGGAAACAATTCAAGAGTGCATTGAAGACATTAAAAGATTTTAATATTGATCCTGTTAATAATACTCAAAACAGAAGTATCTGTCAAACAAGTCGCTAAAGAATTTGAAATGAAAAGATATTAAGGATACACAAAAGAAGGGATATGTGTGGAAACATGGATGTAACTTCTTGACAGCCCAACAAGCCCAGGACCAGCTGTTTCCATATCTTCCAGGCTGCCACTGGACTAATTAGTCACTTGTGTGTCCATTATCCTAACAGGGCTCAACCTTGATCACTCAATTTCCGTCTCCCTCGCCCCTTAGATGGCTCCCACGGAGATGGCCTTTTTCAAAACCAAAAGACAAACCTAACGGGTAAAATGTCTTCCAAAGTGAAATCTTCAATAACTGTTATGTAAACTAGAGATTATGTTACTGATATGTAAACTAATGGAGATTATGTTACTGGCTTAATCCCAAATGCCTAATTAAGACGACGATCATATGCAGATTTACTTCGAAGAACAGCTTGCTTCCAAGTAAACCTGCATGGCCCTGAACGTACTCCTACGGATGGATTTAGGCAAATGAACCCCCCTCTCTGGTCCACAGCCTCTCACTTCTCGGCCCTGCACCAGCCACAGCTCTCGGTGTGCGCTACTTCTAGACACTAACCCGGATGAGCGCCTCCCGGTCGAAAGCGCTATATTTCCCCGCCCCGGCCATGGGGTGGGAAGGCGTGGCGGTCGGCGCTTTCTTCTTCTCCATAGCGGACCCGCGACTTAAACCACCGGGGATGGAGGAGCGACGGGGAAGGCCGCTTTCCCCCAACCGCCGCCCAACGGCGCCTCGCAAATGGTTCGAGGAAAGCGGCTCTGCTCCGACCCGGCCCCCCCCCCGCTGGCCGTGAGGCACCACCGGGGATGGAGGGGCGACGGGCAAGGCCGCTTTCACCCAACCGCCGCCTAACGGCGCCTCGCGAATGGTTCGAGGAAAGCGGCTCTGCCCCGACCCGCCCCCCCCCCGCTGGCCGTGAGGCGATGACGTCACTAAGCGCGACGCGAGCCGGGAAAGGCGCCCGAAGGAATGGAGGTAACTGCATACTGCAGACAGCGCCTGGCACTCTTCCCCTTCCGGACTCGACAAGTGCCGGCCGCAGATACGTGTTGGTGTTGGTGCTGTTTTTAATTTTTGTTTCGGTCACTTTGGAAATCTTTTCGCCAAAAAAAAAAAAAAAAAAAAAAAAGTCAACCACTATTTTCAGAAGCCTAATTGGTATTTTAAAGGAAAACAGCAACAACCGTAACTGTTTTGCATTTCCACACTCACTAAAATAATCTCACGTGTGCGCTTTGCCTAATTGGTATTTTAAAGGAAAACAACAACAACCGTAACTGTGTTGCATTTCCACAATCACTAAAATAATCTCACGTGTGCGCTTTGTATGTGACAAAAATAAATACAAACCGGGTACCGTTTCGTTGACAGCCGGGAAGCGTGCCTTGGAATAGAAATGTATCATTTACTAGGGGAGCTCTTGACCTCAGTTTTCTTCTTGAACCCGTATTTTAAAGGAAAACAACAACAACCGTAACTGTGTTGCATTTCCACAATCACTAAAATAATCTCACGTGTGCGCTTTGTATGTGACAAAAATAAATACAAACCGGGTACCGTTTCGTTGACAGCCGGGAAGCGTGCCTTGGAATAGAAATGTATCATTTACTAGGGGAGCTCTTGACCTCAGTTTTCTTCTTGAACCCGTTACACCCCTCCTTATGCTTCGTTTTTCTCTTCTGTCTTTTGATTCTTAGTCTTCTGAGTGTGATCACACTGTGATTGCCTTATTGGCTGATGTATTTTAAACTTTTGAAATAGATTCACTTGAAGTTACTGACACTTTGATGTAAAGGCAATGAAGAGGAGGACGCTGGTGGTGCCTCTTGCAAACTGTTATTTAGACAGTTGTTATGAGCAATTCTTAATCTCAGCCTGCACCCAATATTTGGAAAGGACGGTACTGAATGGCTGTAACCCCACCTGGCCCAGGTTACAGAAGACATGAACTTCCAGTAGAGGGATAATAACAATGCAGGGTTGTTAAAAGCCACTGTTTCAACCTCAACAACAAAGCAAGGTGTGCTGCTTATATATTGTCCCACAGTGCTTAAAGCACTCTCTGCATGGTATACAATTTAATTATGTAGTTTACACATTGCTCCCCACCTGCCCCACAAGCTGGGTACTAAATTTACTGACCTCGAAAGGATGGAAGGCTGAGTCAACTTTAAACCCCTCAGGAACAAACTTGGTTCATGAGCAGAATCCTCACTGTACCACATTAGTTCTACACTATAAACATTTGATGTTTCAGAACTGATTGTCAAAAACAGCAGTAGCTCAGCCCTTTTTGCTAAGTTGCTTTGTGTTCTCTTGTCTCTACAGTAGTTGCTATTTTTTTCTGTTTATTCAGATGTGTCTAACTGATCCAGTTCCTACTTGCCTTTCCTCTACTGTGCACTATATGCTTTGTGAAGCTGGATTTGAGAAAAAGGCAAACCATGCTAATAACAGTGTTGTATCTGATAGTGGGGAGATATATTGGAGGACACTTACAGAACATATATATTATGAAGAGCCAGGTATGTGTTTATCGTAAATTGAAAATGTATTGTTTAGGTATGGCTGCTGTTCTGGGGATCCTTTCCTGAATTAAATCACTTGAAAATCATGTATTACACAATCATTTTTATGTAATTTAACAAAAGTAACTTGTAACATGAGTACAGTGTGCTTTCCTATAGAAGCCTGTTTGAGATCTCCAGGGGCTTTTTTATTTATAGAGCAACTGCCTACCTGCTGACAGCGAGGCTTTTAATGGATGTGATGTGCTATTGTATCCTTGACAGTTATTCAATTTGTTTTAGCTCAATAGTATTTTAATACTGTAATTTGTCCAATTTGGTTTTAATATGTTGTAACTTAAGATGTTTCTCTCTTTTTTAAAAACTATCTTGTGAGTCACCTTGGGTGATAGTTTTAGGAGAAAAGTAGAATATAAAATTCAAAATAATAAAAATCAATAAAGAAAAAAATGCTACATGTCATTCTTTTACATATATGTTACTTCGGAAAAAGTGATGCATAATTCTTAATGATTTTTACTGATAATCTCTTCTTATGGAGAATGATGTTTCTATTTGTAGAGGTAAGCGACCTCATAGCTGCTTGTGAACATATGCCTCTTTTTAAAAGTCTTCTGGAAGTAACTAGATCAAATATCTAGCAAGAATGAGCTATCCTTTTTCTGCAGGGCGGGAAAGGGAAGAAAGAGGTGGCAGAAAGAGTAAATGGGTGACTGAGCCATTTTTATTCAGGCCCTCTTTACTGCTGATTTCAGTCCCCTTTACAGCCTGCATATAGGTAAATGGAATATGGTGCTGGACCCCCAAAAGGATTGCCCAGTCCTGTCTATAGAATATGAGGTAATGGGGCAATTTATGCTTTAGTTCAGAAATCCCCAACCCCCAGTCTGCAGCCTGGTGTTAGTCCATGGCCTGAGCCAGACTGGGCCGCAGAGAGAGACCTCTCCCCACCCCTGTATGCACTCTCCCCCGCACAGCCTGTTTGTGCATGCGCATGTGTGCACACAAGCGCTGCACTGCCCTTTGCGCATGCGCACGAGAGAGCAATCCTTTGTACATGCGCACAAGCACAGGGGGGTGCCCCGCCTTCCCTAGCCAGTCCGCGGGGCTAAAAAGGTTGTGGACCGCTGCTTTAGTTGATTAGATACTGTTTTCTTGTTTTACAGATCAGACTTTGGAGTATGTAAAAAGTGTGAGATCTGTAGGTCCAGTGTGTGAATCTATTCACTTGTACTTACAATCCCTTATCAAGGAGCAATTTGAAGACCAGTTTGTGGTGTGGTTCCAGTGGACAAACTGCTCAGAGGTAGGAAAATAAATTCAGTTTCAATAAACATTATATATCATGACAATGGTGCAAGCTGTGCCTATATACCAAATTAAATTGGAAGTATGACTGTTGCACTTTCTTGCTGTAAATACATTGGAAAAAGTGATACCAGATTACATTTTTAAAAATCTTCTATACTGCAGATCTTTCTTGAAATGTTTGACACCATAAAGGGTCCAGATGCTACAGCAGTTGCACTTAGCTTAATGAAGCTTACATCATGTTTGGAACGAGCCTTGGGTAATGTAAGTGCTAAAATCTTATATTTTGGAAAGCTTTAGGTTAATAGGATGTTTTTGCACTTGAGAAACTGGCCTAATAATCAGAAGGTCGTAGGTTGCATGTAATGACCAGGTAGTTTCCTTGTCAGGGCATTGTGAGAAGTTGCTTTCAAATGTTTACTGTAAGAGTGAACATGACAGGAAGCAACCAAAAAGGTTGCAGTTTGCCTCCCATGTGCAGAGGATCTCTTGCCATGCCAGATGTCCAACAGTTGCTGGCTGATGGCACAGAAACTGCATCTTCCAGGAACAAGTGCAAGCACTAGATAGGTGCCTTTTTCTGTCTTGAGCAGGAGCAGCTATAAAGGGCCAGCTGATTTTCCAAGCAAGCCGTCGGGGGCTTGGAAGGAGGGGTTATGCTGAGTCAGTAGGCAGTAGCACTGAAAACATGAATAGCGTTCTAACCATTTCAGAATATCTGTCGAAAATAGAATACAATTGTTAATAATTAAAGCTTTAATTAGGTTGATTTCATACATAGCTTTTTTGATTATTTTTCTGAGTAAAAAATACAAATTTATAAGATACTTTAATGATTTCATTTTTTGAGTGAATGATTGAGAGAAAAGTAAAATGTAAATTTTAAAAAAATTCCCAGGTATTCTTATTAATTGGCAAAGATTGCCCTTTTCTCCTGAGAGACTTGGTTGCATCTAAGGAACTAGCTACAGTGTTTGGGAGATCAGTGGTGAGTATTTAATTCTTGGAATGCAAAGGCTCGTTAATAACCCTTTAATTTTTATTCAGTGGTTGATTTTCAACAGTATCTACCATATTTTTCCGTGTATAATAGACACCCACGTATATGACGCCCCACCAATTTTCTAACTCAGAATTTCTTTCTTCGTAAGGAAGTGGAGAGGGAAAGCAGAGATCAAGGTTCTTTCTTTGCGAAGAAAGTGGAGGGGGAAAGCACTTTCTTGCAATGAAACTGGAGGGGGGGGCACTTTCCTCGCAAGAAAGTGCTTTCTTTTGAGGAAAGTGCTTTCCCTCTCTACTTTCTTCCAAAAAGAGTGGAGGGAAAAAGCAGGAATCATCAAAGCGATTCATTAAAGTGGCTCCCGATTTCCCCCTCTACTTTCTTTTCAAGAAAGTGGAGGGGGAAAGCACTTTCCTTGCTAGAAAGTAGAAGGGAAAAGCAGGAATCAAAGCGTTTTGATGATTTCTGCTTTCTCCTTCCACTTTCTTGCAAAAAAAGTGGAGTGGGGAAGCAGGGATCAAAGCGCTTTGATCCCTCCCCGTCCTTACTTCCGTGTATAAGACGACCCCAAATTTTTAATCTAAATATTTTAGAGAAAAGTATCATCTGATACATGGAAAAATACGATATATCTTTGTGGCTTGGATAAGAATACTATGCACAGGGCCAACAATATTTTAACTGGGTTCAGTTGGCAAGCCATTTCACCCAGTAGCCATTGAGGCTTGGCTTTTCTGTCTGGCAGTGACGTTTTATAGCAGGAGTAGGCAATTTCCTGGACACAAGGAGTCTCATTGAACACTCCTCACTCCTCCAAGGGTCCACAGCGCATATTCCTGCTACTGCCATGCTGTGAAATTTTAGCAATGGTGCAGCATTCAAAAGCTACCATTGCCTTCAAAAAACAGTGTTCAAGAGCTCTCATGTTATAAATCAGAATTGTGGTTCAAAGAGTGTAGTTGGGATTTAAAGTCTATGTGTATTGTGCACCAGACACACTCTGTTTCCAGATAAAATTGTAGCTTTTTTGTTGTTGTTTTCCTGTCAATGCTATAGCAGCAAATTTGGTGACGGAGTTCAAAAAATGGTTAGAAGGGACACCTGCAGCCATTGACTGTATGTTGTTCAGACCTGTTTTACAGGGTAGTAAATGTGACGGTATGTGAATTCATAGCAATCTTCCAATCCTTAACTCAGGTGGTATGTCAAAATTTCAGCATCTGAAGCATATTGTATGCACAAGGTAACACACATTTTGATGGGGTTTGGTAACTTGTGAGTCTTGGCTTTTTTTGTTTCATCTTGTGATTAGTAAAGAGTTTTTATTAAGTGAACAATGTAATGTATGTATGTTTATGTATGAGTATCCATTTCATTGTTATTTTTGTTTCCAAATCCAAGATGCTTATGTTATGGCAAAGTATAATTTCTGAAGTAGTTGTCCTTTGTCCATGTTAGATGGATGTTCTGAGAGTGTTTATTGGATCTCCAGATGGTCTAAATCTTCGTAATATTTTGTGGCATGGATTCGCATCGCCTCAAGAAATTCCTATGAAGTAAGGTTTTAAGTAAAATTAATTGCATTTTTTGATGGTGGCGATGTTTTTTATTTCATACCAGTCACAGTAGGCACAGGGAGATGGCTGGACAATAGAAGGACCCCGTTATTCAGTGGGTGTAAATTTGGGTAATACTGCTGAAGATGTGTAAGCAGCTTAATTGTAAGCAGGATTTCATCCTTGATGTTTAACTTGCCTTTCTATGTACACTACATCATCCCAATTGTTTCCCTATTCATGTTGAGTAATCTTGTATTGAAATATTCTTCAGCTAATGTAGATGGTTTGATAGTGTGGGGGGAAAGTGATCAAAAGACACCAGAACCTAAGAATACCACCTTTTTGGACCAATTAAAATGTAACATGACCACTTGTCTGCCTGTAAATCATTTGGAAAGATAGCCTGCTATGTTTGCAGAAAAATGAATTAACATATGTGGACATAAGTGCAAATAACAATATTTTCTAATGATGCATCAAGTTCTCCTTAGCAGGCAGAAAGTGTAGGCTGTTTATGACTGGATACAAACACAGGCTAATAGTTGGGTTTCAGTATTAAGAACATACAGTGGACCCTCTGCTTACGGAATTAATCCGTATTGGAACAGTGGCTGCAGGTGGAAAAGTCTGTAGGTCGAGTCTCCATTGACCTACAATGCATTGAAAACCGATTAATCCCATAACCAGCCGTTTTTGTTCCATTTTGGTTTTTTTCTGGTCTGTAGGTCATTTCTCAGGCTGCACGTCGAACCTAAATTTTGCAGCCAGAGAAGTCTATAACTTGAAAAGTCTGTAAGTCAAGCCGTCTGTAAGTCGAAGGTCCACTGTAGTTGAATTCTTTCAGTGAGTTGAGAGAGTTCTCCACCCTGCTACCATCACGACTAGGATGTGAAATTCAGCATGAAAGTAAAAATTTCAGGCAATTTATATTTCCTGCTCTCAAAACAATTCCCTCCAACAATTCCATGCCTTTTTAAATACATACTGTATCTCAGACCTGCCATGAAAGCTGGGGATTAAATTCCGGTGAACAAATCATACTTCTGCTTTTGACACAAGTTTACAATAAAAACTCTTTTGCCAATTGAGGAAGGACTGGTTGTAGATACTGGAAATGCACCTTGTTTGGTTTTACCCATAGTGAAAGTTACTGTGGGATAAGCTACAACTGGAGCAGAACCTCTCACTGACCAAAAGCGTGCTGGGAAATACCATACGTATGGTATATGTATACACAGCACTTTTTCCTTTTTTGCTTGCCATCTGTCACATGACCAAGCAAGCAACTGGCCGCAAAAGCATTTTCCTAAACCTACAAAGCCAGAGCGTGATGGCCAGCAAGCAGAACAGTTAGGCTTACTTCTGTGATTGCCTGCTTGCACTGCACAAATCTAACAAAATTGTAACTATATTGCTTTCAGTCAAAGATCATAAGAAAATGAGCAGCCAATTATGTAGTCTGAAAAACTCCTTTTTATTGAATTAAAAAAAATCATCTCGGCTTCCAGAAAAGTGTTCTTAGAGAAACCTATACTCTTATACCAGAAGATCATCATCCTGCTAAAGAGGAAGTTAAAGACAGGGGAGGGGACGAAGGAAAAAAATCCATAAATGACCCAACAAAGAGAATAACATTTTGTGGTTCTTGTGAAATTTTTTATTTTCCATCATTGAGATATTAGACTTAGGTTAATTGAATTTTAGCGACAGCATCATGTTGCTGTTTTGTATATGAAAATCTTCATAATAATCCAGTGCCTCAAACATTTAACTTTGGGGATATTTTAATGTTGTATATGTGGTATAATTCTGATTTTACTCTATGTCATATTTTCCCTAGATATTTATCCGTGCTGCTTTTTCTAACAGCAGGCTTGGGGCAACTGTTAAAGAATTATCTTCTGCAAACTCAGTCTACTTTAATTCATCGGCCTTGTATATCTTTCACTAATCTGGAAGAGCTACATGTTTTTCCAGGCAAGTACGTTACAGGAAGTATTTGTAATTGTTTAATTTGACCCAGTACTCTATATTGCTTGAAGGTTATTGTTTCTCTGTTTCTTTTTTAGGATGTTAGCCCAGGTTTGAAAATGACAATCTTTATGCAGAAGCTGGCTTCTGTACATGAATCATGTCCGGTAGTTGCACAGAAGTTAGAATGCACAACTTCATTGTCTAGAAGTAATACAGGTTTTGTCCTTCACTCAGTTTAAGAAAGCATGTGTTTTTAAGGTGGCTGTTTAAACTGTGGAACTGTCTATAACCATTTCTGTACCTCATGCAGACACAGACCTTGCCCCAAGTACACTTTCAGCAGAGAGGTCCAGCCAGATTGTAGGCCTAAGGGCAATGACGGTCTTGCTAGCAATCTGTCTAATCTAGTCTACAGTTCCTTGCTGAATGCTCTGGAAACTTTGGCTCCTTAATAAATGTCCTTGCAATTCAGATTAGAAACCTGAAATAAAAATAAAAAATAAAAAAGAGCTCAAGATAATATGTGACATGTTGATTACAAAGGCTTGGGTGATTTATGTAAAAGGAATACATTTATGTCCTCATTATCTCCCACATACCGTATTTTTCACACCATAAGACGCACTTTTTTCCCACAAAACGGGGTGGTGGTGGAAAGTCTGTGCGTCTTATGGAGCGAAGAAAACAGATTATATTTTCCTGTTTTCTTCTCCTAAAAAATTGGTGCATCTTATGGAAAGGTGCGTCTTATGGAGCGAAAAATACGGTATATGTTGGAATATGTTGGAATAGCTACTTTTAATACGTAATCCAAGTACTACACTTTTCACATACCACTTTGTTCTGTTTTGTAGATCTTAATCATAAATTGCTGTTGTTGGCTGAAAAAATAGTAATCAAATCAGATATTGTGTTAAGAACGATGGTGCCTTTTTGGATTAGTGCTGTAGCATCCTTCCAACAATCCAGGTAATAACTATCACTTTTGCTAGTCCCTTTTTAAACAGTTACAATATGTATTTAACTTTATTAGGGTCCATGGCATCATCTGTTAATTCTAGGCATAATTTTCCCACTTCTCACTTAGCTTTCCATACCTGGCAATCAGATTCAATAGTTTAGTGCTAGGAATAGTTTATCATGCACACAATTAGTGTTGTCTCATCCACTCTGAACGAAACAAAACAAGCCAGGATGCTCCGTACCAGCAAGATATCCCCTGAAATTTTTTGTTGTCAATGTATCCTTTTCAGCTTTGCTTTAAGCTGCCCATGTATTTTTGAATAAAGCATCAAATGATGTTCCTACTCTCCCCTTCTCCTGCAAGCACTCGTATTTCACAGGGCTTGTAGGATTCCCTGACATCAGAGATTGTGGACTGTGAGCAACTGACTTGTTAGAAAGCAGGACTGTTCAGACAACTAAAAGCCCAGTCTTCCACATATTTACTGAGAAGTAAACCCGTTTGCTACTTTACCCAACCTAGCAGTCTTCAGATATGGAAAGTATTATCTTCTCATTTCCAGCTGAATGATAGAAGTTATTGTGCTTATCTCAGAGGCTTCAGGTGAGGGGGTAGGTTGTTCTGTCAGATTGGGTGGGGTTCATTCTCAGGTGAATGTGTATAGGATTGCAGTCAGAATTGTTTATAGGAGTGATAGTGGTGTGATGTTTTATCTGAGGTTCTTAAATATGTGAATTAAAATCCCTCATCAAGTTTTGTAGGTATGTCTGGGACTTACCTAGTGAGCAATAAAACCAAGATGAGCAAGGCAGATGAACAGAAAAGATACAAAACGGGTAGACTGAGCACAAATCTCAATAACCCTTGTAACCCACTGTATAGTTAGGTCTTCACCTATTGTTGTTGGCCCATCTGCATTTTAATACCTGCTCTTTCTCAAGGAATGAAATATCTTTATCTAATGTATAATGTTTTCCCATTCCATTATCTGTATACCTAGTATGGCTAAACATTTCCTTTGATGTTCTGACACTTAAATTCTGTGGATGATTTTGGTATGCCTTTTGATAGGATGTGCAGTCTTTAAGGAAGCTCATTGTTTTGTCTTTTTTTTTCTAAGTGTAGAATTGCTTTGGGACAGAGAGGTGAAAATCTGTAAACATTGTTATTAAACTCTTCCCCCTGGGATGCATGCCTCCTACCATCTTTATTTCAGCAGCTGAAATGCTATTGCTTAGTGTAGTAAGTTGCAACTAGAGTAGGCCCATTGAATCACTTGAACTTAACAGAGGAGTTGACTCATCAGATTCCCATTGGCTCAGTGCACCTAGTCAAGTTGTGACTTACTATGCTAAGCAACAGGATTTCAGCCAGTGTGAAACTGCAGGTGAAGCTCAATCTTTGTTAACAACAATGTGTTAGTTTAATATGTATGTAAAAACAAACTAATTATTAATGAAAGAGGAAATATGCGTAAAAATCAATCTCACTGTAATTTTTTTTTCAGATATGCAGACTGTGTTATATTGTTACTTCCTCAATTGGAAACTGGACTTAGATTGCTCTTCACAACAGTAAATAAATGCCCAAGCAGACTAATGACAGCTGAGGTACATTGTTGGTGGTGTTGTTGATCCATGATTTTTGAACAGACCAAATTCAGTTAAACATATTCTGGCTGTTTAAACTCTATTTTAATACCCAGGAATGAATGCTGGAACCATGTATTTCTCCTTCCCCTTTCTCAACATACCAGTCCTTATTTATTGAAAGCACAATTCCCTGTTATATTTGAAACAAGGACCTTTTGTTTAATCTGAATTTGCTTGTCAGGATCTTAAACTACAGTTTACTATATTTTCCCCTGTGAGGCAAACCACTCATATCATACCTTCCATGGGTACCACCTTGTTTTCCTTAATAGAACAAATGTTAAGTGGAACCAGAAGTGGAAACAGAATTTTATTTTGGTTGCTGAAAATAAAATTCACCGGAGACTGTACATTCTTGGAATTGGGGCAGAAAGTGGATGAAGAGTTAATCAGTCTTTACTGCCTAGCCAAAGGAGAGACACATTGCCTAGATATATAATTAAAGCATTGTGGGTTTTGTTTTGTTTTTTGATGAAAATAGCCAGTTCGTTAAATATTCATTGACCCTTATTTGTCAAATTTTAAGTCCCAATGAATACGGCTTGATGAATATTTCCCCATTTTATTCGTTCTTCATAATTTAAAAAAAAATCTGCCTACCGGCTGCCGATCACCTAATCACCGGGCTGATAGGCAGCCACCCACCCCCACAGCCTACCCCCTTCCTCTCCCTACCTTTGCCCACCCCCACACACAGCTCCTTACCATAATTGCCACTGCCGAGGTCTCCATCTGGCCTCCACATCCACAGTGTGTAAAAAGGGAGACTGGCTGCCCTTTGCAAAGATGGTGACTGCAGCTTCATTTAGGGTAGGGAAGCTGCAGGTGCCATCTTTGCAAAGGGCAGCTTGGATTTTTTTAGCCTGCCTTCGTTATTTGTCGCTTCATAGGGGCAACTTCGTGCTTCGTGAGTCGTCAACTTTTGACAACTCACAAAGTAGAATGACTCACCAAAATGGTGAGTCGTTCCAATTTCTAATCACTACATCTAATATGGTATCTCTTGCAGTAGTGAGAGTTTAAAACATTATTAGGATAACTAATGACAAAATAATTTGTCATTTTTGTGAATGTTTGTGGTATAGGTGAAATAAATCTATACCTTCAAGTCAATTCTGATGTAAAGCAACTCTTCACAGGGTTTTCTAGGTGGGGAGTACTTCCAAGGGCAAAAGGGATCCCTTGGAAGTCTCAGAACCCAAAAAGGTGGTAGGGACAGGAAAATTTTTAATGTAATTAATGTAAATATTTCCATCTCCAGATGATGACATCACCCACCTTAAAATTCTAGACTGAACATAGTTTTTTAAGTCTGATTAGTCAACAAGCAGACAAATACATTCTTAGCTACCCAGTCTCTGTCTAGAAACTACTTTGTTGCAGAAACAAAGTTGATCAGACTTTTCTGGGGTGGGCAGTGACCAGAGGATCATAGATTTAAGATCCGTTGCCCTGCACTCTCTTCTCTTTAAATAAAGAAATAGAAGATTTATAACTCCATCCAACATAAATCTTATCACTTCAATATAGTTTTGGGCAGTGATACGTTCATATTTGTTAAGAGCAGAATTTTAGCTTAAGTGAACAAAAACTTCACAATCCACGAGTAAATATAAATTCACTATAAATGTGAAATATATAAAATATGATACCAGTAATGTCTGTCTTTTCTATTTTCCAGTCTTCTTCTCTGTACACTACATTTGATGAAGTAAGTTTTAACGGTGTGATCTTTGGAATATTCAAAATTCGTACAATAGTGTAGTTTGTCATTTGTATTTAAAATTTTAATATCCTAATTCCCATATTTTTCCAATTATGACACACCCCCATTTATAAGACAACCCCCACAATTTTCTAACCCAGAAATTAAGAAAACTTAGCTTTGAGTATTTAGCCTCTGCGCTCAGAACCCTCGGACATTAGGAATCCCTGTTGAATCTGAACCTACAGGCTCCACCTCTAATGAGGTGTATTCCAATTGAATTGTTCAGCATCAGCTGACATCAGTTCCATAAGGCTTGTGATTGGAGGAAGCTAAGCCTTGCACCTAAAGGAAGCCTGTTTATAGAGGCAAGATAGGGGCCGTTTTGTTCTCTCCTCAGCGATCTTCCGTGTATAAGGTGCACCTCAATTTTTAATGTAATGGTTTTAGGAAAAAAGTAGCATTTTGTACACGGAAAAATACGATATGGCAGAAATGTAGGGAAAAGTACAATGAATGCTGTCTTGCTTTGGAAGTACAATTGTGCCACTCTTCTAAAGCTTGGCATTAATATAATAATCTGACAGCCATGTTGGCACAAAATGGAAATGCATTTCCCAAATAGGTGGCTGAAAAGAAGCAGCTGAAATCATTAACCTTTTCCTTTCTATGCCTGAATTATTTTCTGACTTTGGTAATAATACTCCATTGTAAGGCCCTATTCAGGCAATCAGTCATGACTCACCTTAACCTGTGAACACAGGGTGCTAACTAGCTAACCCCACTGCCCTCCATCCTGTATGGAACGCTACATCTGAAGAGAGTGATCTCTTTGTATTCAGTATCTTCATGTGATCAGCAACACTGATTCTTCTCCCCCCCCCCGAGGTAGATGAGGGCTTTTATTGACTGCCTGACTTGGGCTTATATGATTGGATTAAATATGAATAGGGTTTGATGATCTCTTGTCCTGAAATGCACTAGGCAAAATCTTCCTATCCTACTTGCCAGGTTACCAGTGGGATGGGGGAAGGGGCTGCGGATTATTAGCATTGTTAATGCCCTAATACATTGGCTGCCAACCTTGGATAACCCAGGTGTTTTTGAACTGCAATTCCCAGAAACATTCGCCTCCAGCTGTGCTGATTGGGGTTTCTGGGAGTCACAGACTAAGAACACTTGGGTTACCCAAGGTTCTATTAGTGCTCTAATAGAAGAGGATTTGTTTCTCTGGCCTTGAAAAAACAAAGTAGGACGACTTGTTAGATTAGCCTTCTTCAGCTCTTGCTTGTATTAGCAAGAATTAGCCAGTCTTTAATGGTTAAAGTCCCTTGAATAGGTAAAGATAGCTCATATCCTTATATGAGACTGATGATCAAAATCTTTTTAAGTCTAGTTTCCTCCTTGTTTTTAGGTTGAATGTTGATTTGACCATCCTGGTACATAATTTATGTACTGTTTGGAGATAGATGGGGAATATATCCCAGTTTATTCTTCTGCACGTTTCAGCAGCTTTCAAATCTATAAATCTTTCTAGAATGCTTTATAAGTGATGGGATGGGAGGTATCATTTGCAGTGCTGGAGATCATTAGTGGAGAGTATGTTTTAAAAAGAGGATGCCAGAGAACTGCTGATCTCTTTTCTGGTATGAGACTTGTGAGGTTCTACAAAGATTCCATTAATGTTTCCTGACTGTGACTTTATGTTATTTGATATTGGTAACTGCCTTTTCTTTCTCTCATGTAGATGCTGGCAAAACAATTGAATAATGAGGAAGCCAATAAGCTTCCTTCACTTCTTGGTGAATCAACAATGGTATGCCCATACATTTTGGCACTTTGAGTTTGAATTGAGAATACTCTACCCTTATAGGGCTGCAATCTTTTATACATTTACTTAGAATAAATCCCTGTTAGACTTACCTTGAGGTCAATATGACAAGGATTTTACTGTAGTACAGACTGTTTCACAGTACAGGCAACTGATTTTATAATTTCTGCTTGCTATCTTATTCACACACAATTTGTTAGTGCTTCTTAACGTAGCTTTTAATGTTTTGCAAGAACCCCACCTATGAGTAAATTGGCATAAATAGTTAAACAAGAGGTGGTAGCTGTTGAGAAGTGAGAAATAGGACCTTCTTTGTGGAGTGATCATCTAATGCTGGAAACTTACATCCAAGCAGAATATTGCTTTTTTTTCAGAAAAGCAGCGGGTAATAGATTTGCTGGCTTTATTTATTTTCCCCCTTTTGTTGAGTTTGGATTGGACCCCAAAGTGCCTTTATGCTTTTGGGATAGAAGGCATCTTTTACTCCCAGAAAAGTATTTTTACACTTCACACTATCAAGAAGAATAAAATTAAATGTGAAAGTATTGTTCTGGTTATGTAAGACCATGAGATTGTAGCACTGCATGAACTCATATGCAGGCTTTTGCAGGATAATGCCTACACTTGTCTTGCAGCTTCTGGTTTCTTGAATGCAACTGTATATTTTCCATCCTTTCAGAATAAAGTTCTGCACAGTAAAAAGAAATCATAACAAATATTGTCTGCTGCTCAGATAAGTAGAAAACAAGGGTGTCATTGACCCATAGGGCACAGAAATATACCAACCCTCTATCCAGAATGATTGGTAGGGTCTACCTAACAATAGGGATGAACAACATTGTAACTTACTATTACAGTCTTCATCAGTCATGAAGAAAGTGAAACAGAGAATCCTTTATATACCAAAGGTTTTGCTTGCTGCTTTTACCACAGTAATTTTCATGGCCAAAGAGGCCTACTGCTGTTTAAAGAGGAGCTTGGATGCTTCCAGATGAAGATCTTCTAGTGCAGTGGTGTCCAACCTTGGCCCTCCAGATGTTCTTGGACTTCAACTCCTAGAAATCCTGGCCAGCAGAGGTGGTGGTGAAGACTTCTGGGAGCTGTAGTCTAAGAACATCTGGAGGGCCAGGGTTGGACACCATTGTTCTAGTGCTACCAATCAAAAGATGTGCAACTATTTTGTTTCCATGTTTTTAACATACTTTATGAAATAAGAGAAAAGAGGTAAGAACCAGTGGGGAAAGGAGGGGAGGATTCAGATAGAAGATCACATTTTCTGGAAACCTATCCACCCATCCCCCTGGATAAAACTCTGTAACTGAGGCTGAGAAACTGCATGATGGAAGCCTCATCTGGAAGCAGCCTTTGCCTCTGCTGCTATAGGAGCAATACCAAACCAAGCTTCAAGCCGTGCTTTCTCTTCCAACAAACACCCATTCTGGGAACCTTGACCATAAATATCTGCAATCTTTAAAGTTGATACAGAATCTTTGGATTGTTTCTACATTCTTGTAGGAATTTCTCTGGGATTTTTTGAACCATCAAGAAGGTCCCCGTGTTAGAGACCATCTGAGCCATGGAGAGTGCGATTTAAATGACTTCCCAAGAGAAATAGCGAATTCAATGCTTGCATTTTCTCTCACACTTTTGTGCAGATTTTCCAAGGATGCTGATGTTACAATCAAGGTAGGGAGCTGATTTGTTTCAGGAACACTAACAGACTTTAAAACAATGCTTCTTTCACCCTTAAATCCAAAACTTTGTAGCTGAAGCCCTTGTTTTTTCTTGTCCTGTCATCTAATTATGCTTTATGAACATTGTCTTGTAAAAATGCATGGAGTTCTAATTAGACCTCAAATTCTACCATAGCTTGTCTCACATGTACATAGCAAAAATTACTTTCAAAAGTCAACGGATCCTTTTATGTTGCGTTTAGTGTGGCCTGAAGGGATATAGCACATGCTTTACGTACATCCAAAATTTCTTTTTTAACACATGCATGAAATTCATTTCATAACATTCCTATTGTCTGTTTTTTAAATTATTTGTTTACCCCCCAGTGTTATTTATCTGATCAAAATCAATCACATACAAATATTCTAAATTTTAAAAAGAACAATCTGGAAATTCAGTCTCAGGGCTGCTGTGTTCTGTCTCTTTTGGCCATAAGAACAGTTAAATCTCTCTCTCTGTGTGTGTGTCTGTATGTATACATGTTATTATTTACACACTTTTTGTGGTACATCCTTGTGAATGATAATCATGTGTAATCTATTTCTGATAAATTCCACACTGCTTACTTCAATATATATATATATCTCTCTTTAGAAAAACAGATTAGGTGTATGTACATGTTATCATTTTCTACAATTTATCTTTCAACTAGGAACACATAGCCCTAACGTCACTGATGGCCAGCGCAAATTGCTATTGCTCTCAGTTTCATCCAATACCCCGACTTAAAAAGCAGGTATGAAGCTTTTGAAATTGTTTTTTCTGAGTGAGTTTGCTCTTCCAAGCTTTTAAATGCTTGAGTTGCAAAACTGCCATGGTTGAAAGTTGACTTCTGTGGGAGAGTCAAACATGAATATGGGAACCTGTTCAGCATGGTTAATCAGTGCCTAATAGAAGCTCCCTTGAAAGTTACAGACCGTGAAAAGGTTGAAACAAAATGGGATTCATAGTACTTGTGACTTAATTTAGTGAGATCTACTAGGTAGTCAGTAAGAAGGCAGCACATGGGCTTAAAGAACCATAGGGGGTGTCAGATCAACCCCAAGGAATTCTATAGAAATTTATAAACTGCCCAGGAAAAAAAGTAAGAAGCCTATGTTCATCACAGCTGGCATTTATCCTAGTAAAAAGGTTAATCCCTGAATGAAACCAAACAATCTTTGACAATCATATCAATATTCATCTGAGTATCAAAGTACAATACAGTATGTCTTTCCACTGTTGCAATAATTCCAGGCAACATCAGCTCTATTTCTGCAAGCTTTATCTACATTGCTTTTATGTTCTTTATGTACAAATACTTCAGAGTTGTTGTATAACGCAAAAGTCTTACAGCTATGAAAAATCTATAGGCACAGTGATTAAAATATATACACATTGTATATATTTGTAGGCAAAAACTTAGGTCAGAATTTCATCCAAAATACAGGAGCAAAAGTGTAATAAATAACAAAAAACAACATTTTAAGTTACATTCTAAAAATGTAACAGCTTGTAATCAAAGTGTATTCACAAACGACAGTGAATACATGTTTTAAAATATTAAAGTTCTTAAAAGTAAAAAGCATTATACTTTTAAGTAATGTTTAATCTCAATTAAAACACATGGACAAAATATCAAAACTTAAAAGTAAAAATACATACATTAAAATGCATTACATAGTCTCTAAGCCATTTTAAAAACACACAAAGAAAAGTAATACATTTTCTAAATTCCTCACCCAGTCCTAGCAATGAAAGTCTATGTGGAAAATCCATGTTGATTGTTACTGCCAGCATCTGGAAATGCTGCTGCTCTGCTACATGATTGTTATTCCTTGATATCTGGTGCCCAAAGTAGTGCAGAGTTGTAATGATGTGATGAATGCCTCTGTGTGTATATGTTTTATCTCCACATATTTATAACTCTTAACAATTGTTTTCCTTTCCTTCTAATTATAAACAAACCTTATCTGCAAGTCTTGTAAGCCCAAATGCTTAAAAATCCAAGAATACTTTTTCAATAGGAAATGATATTGTTGTTGCGTATATTATAACTTGAATGGTCTATAGTCCAGCATGCTGTCATTGTACTGATAATGTATTTTGTTTTGATTCACATTTTTGCAGAACTTACATTATCATAGTCCAGAAGCATCAGAGATTTGAATAATTAAATTATTATACTACTCAGATATTACAGTGTAATGGCACTGAGACTACAAAGACTGCCAACTACCAGACGTGCATATGTCATCTCTGTATTTACAAGTTGTAACCAAAATATTATTCAGCTGCCAAGATTGTTTATAATTCATTGATCTTCTTCAGTTGCAGCTGACTTAATTGTTTTGGTACAATTTAAAAATGTTTTGCATTGACTATAGTAATCAACATGGATTTTCTAGCTGCATTTGAATGTATTTTCATTTTCAAAGCTGCTTTTTCTATAACCTTAATCATTTCTTAACACTCTTACATACAGCATTGATAGAGGAACAAAATAGATAGAGCTGCATAAAATAAAGCATGATGTGGAGAAAGTGGTGGATGTGCAGTGGATGCTGTCCAAATGTCTGAATGCTGCCTGGCTTCAGTACTGGAATGGACCAGGGTTAACAGGCTCAAACTGAACCTGGACAAGAAAGAGATTTTACTCCTGGTGGGGGGATTGTCCCTAGGCTGGATGGCATTGCCCTCCCGCTTAGGGACCAAGTTCATATTCTGGGTGTTCTTCTGGATCCGGCTCTTTATTAGGAGTCCCAGATCACAGCTGTGTCCAGATCAGACTTCAACCAACTCAGGTTTATCGCCCAGTTCTCTTGAGGTGCCAAACAATAGACAAGGGCTCCCTCAGGACCTTGGGGCTGGCCTTGGTCATCTCCCAGATCAACTACTGCAGTGCTCTCTACGTGAGGCTTCCCTTAGGCCTGATCCAGAGACTACAGCAGGTCCAGAATGTGGCAGCCAGACCGGTTGTTGGTGTGAGCAAATTTGATTGTATCACTTTGGTTTGGGCTCACTTTCACTGGTTACCCATTGTGTCCTGTATCAGGTTTATGGTTCTTACACTCATAAATAATGCCCCCCCCCATGATTTGGGCCCATGTTACTTGTTGGAACGTCTTTCCTTAGTGTCATCTGCCCGATCCACTAGATCATAGCAGGCAAGGTTCCTTGAGGTCACTACCCTGAGGGAGGCCCATAAATCTACAAGATTTCTTTCTTTGCAGTGACTCCAACCTTGTGGAACCAGCTTGTGGAGGAGCTTTGCTTGCCTCCCTCCCTGTGGATATCCAGGAGTCGACTGAAGACTTTGCTCTTCAGGGAGGTTTTCCACCCTGATCCCAGCTGACCACCCATTTTTCGTCCACTTTTGTTCATTGCATTATTGATTGGCGCCATTTGTTTTTAATAGTTATTTTTATAGTTATTTGCTAATTTGTTCTGTCTTTAGTGTTTCATTTTTATCTCTGTCTGATGTTTTATCTATTATAAACTGCATAGGGCAGTGCCTTGGCACCAACGGAAGTGGTATACAAGATAGATAAATAAATAAATAAATACATTTTGTGAGATGTGTTACAGGAGATGCAGATGAAGTCAGTAGGTATTGAAGTCATCCCTTTCTTCAAGCTGAACAGCTTGTACCAGTAAATTGGTTGTTCTGATTTTTATAGAGGTTTATTTTTCACTTTCTAGGTTCTGAATTGTATAAAAAGCATTAATTCCTGGTCTGATCTTCCACCATTGCCTGAAGAGTATGTTCATGAAACTGCAGGGTAACATCACTTTTTCTTCTTTTTCTCCTCCTCCTCCTTCCCTTTGCCCTTCTTCATTAAGCTGCAATACCATGGAATTACTGTTTGGGGGCAACACTGTTGCCAATCATGACTTTTATAAGCAAGCGTATTTTTTAAAAATCTTGAATGAAATTCTAATACTAGTTCTGAACAGCTTGATTTGGTTTTCTTTTAAGATCAGGAAAAGAGGACGACACTCCTTGTCTTTGTGTGATTGCTGATATTTTCTCTCAACTTCAACCCTACTTGCCTCAGGATCTCAAGCTTTTAGGCACTTCCATAAACAATCTGCTGACAGAGAAGTAAGTTGTATAACATTCCCTTCCTTTTTTGTCAAATCTGAAATGTCCTCTAGTTCCAAGACTTTATTTCTTTGCAATATTTTCAATGTTACTGTTAAAAAAATAATCTTAAATCTCAGATGCTTCATAATAATGTAGGTTTGAGTGACAGCGGCTGCATTCAGATATCATGTTCTTGCTCCTCCAAAAACCTTCTGGAAAATTGGGATCAGGCCATCTTCACACATGCTTCCTTGTGCCCTCTGTGTTTCACAAACTCAGATTACCAGAATGTCTCTTGAGTTGCCAAACAATAGTTCACCATGGTACCCAGCCAAAAATCTGTGGTTTGAATGAACACCTTCAAATCTGAATGATAAATGATGGTTTGGAGAAATAATGGCTTCATGCATGAATGCCACCAGTGAATATTAGCCTTGCTTCTTGCCATCCCTCAGCGTACCCACTTCCCTATTTCCCCTTACTTGCAGTCAGCTGACTGGATAGCTCAGTGAGTTTGACATCTGAGTGCAGAGCCAGAGGTTAGGAATTGAATTCCCCACTGTGCTTCCAAGGAGAAAAGCCAGCCTGTGTGGCCTTAGACAAGATGCAGAGTCCCAGAGCAACCGCAGAAGAAAGGAACGATAAACCACTAGAGATTAGCTTGAATTCAGAAACGAATTTCAAAATTAATCAGAAATGGCTAATTTGGCAATTTGTATTCATGCAAATCATTGCCCCCTAACAAACACAAATCAATGAATTTTTAGTGATTTTTTTATTTGTCGATTCATTGGGCTCTAAAATGCCACACACCCCAGCACCTAGAGACACCAACATCACAGAGAAGCTTCCCATGACTCTCATCTACATTCCCTCCAAGTTTGGCGATGATTGGGTTTCCCCAAGCCAGATGCTGAAGGACACTTTCCTGGGGGGACCCACCTTGTGGGCGTATAACTTGGATGTTTCAAATTTATTCTTCACCAAACTGTTCATGCAAATCATTGCCCCCTAGCAAACACGAATCAATGAATTTTAGTGTTTTTTTTTATTTGTCAATTCATTGGGCTCTAAAATGCCACACACCCCAGCACCTAGAGACACCAACATCACAGAGAAGCTTCCCATGACTCTCATCTACATTCCCTCCAAGTTTGGCGATGATTGGGTTTCCCCAAGCCAGATGCTGAAGGACACTTTCCTGGGGGGACCCACCTTGTGGGCGTATAACTTGGATGTTTCAAATTTATTCTTCACGGGGGGACCCACCTTGTGGGCGTCTAACTTGGATGTTTCAAATTTATTCTTCACCAAACTTAGAAGAATTGTAGAGGAGAGTGAAGGGAAACTCTGTGATTGTGATCTCTATAGGTGCCTGGGGGGGATCGTTGCTGGGGGTATCTTCGTGGGTATATAAGTGAGATGTCTGAAACACAAACTTCACCAACGTTCCAGGGCTTTTACATGAGAGTCAGGGGAAGCTTCTCTGTAAATTTGGTGCCTTTAGGTACTGGGGTGGGGTGGGCATTTTATAGGGTTTTAGAAAATTGATCAATTGATTTGTCAGAAAAAAAGGTAAATGCATTGTTCAGGATTTGTCTTATAACTTGATAACTTTTTTTGTTTTTTTGTTTTTTTATTATTATATAAATCCATCTATACTGATTTAACATTGTGTCACCAGGGTACAGCTTATAATCATTTGTAAAACAACTACTACACACATTACACTCCTAATCTATACAACATCCTTCTAACCATTGATAGAATAAGTCCCATATTTGATAATATTTTGTATCTATAACTTGATAACTTGATGACTCACAAGTCAAAATGAATCGCCATTTTTCTGATTTGTGCCCATCTCTAAAAACCACTTCTGAGTATTCTCTGCAGCTGGGAAACCGATGACTCATGAGTCAAAATGAATCACCATTTTTCTGATTTGTGCCCATCTCTAAAAACCACTTCTGAGTATTCTCTGCAGCTGGGAAACCCTGAAAACGGTCATCATAAGTTGACTTGATGGCACAGACTTTCTACAGATGACCTGAAAATGGTCATCATAAGTTGACTTGATGGCACAGTATTATTTTTATTTGGACCTAGAGTTATATCTTTCTAATTATGTTGATGATTATCACTTAAAGTTATTTGGAAAATACCAAACCTGTTCCTCTTTTCATATTAAATAAATGTTTTTGTATTTTTCAGATTACTAACTGAACTCTGCAGCAAGCACCTTCATATCCTCTTCTGCCCACGGTCAGTTCTGGAAACTGTTGTTGTGCTTCATCACATAAGTACCCAATGTCATCAAGTATCATGTCAAGTCATTTCTACTTGTCAGACCAGGCATCACCAGTGGACAAACAAGTCACTGCGATCTCGTCAGAGGCGTAACTATACACGCATGAGAAGGAGGTGGGATGTTATTTGACTTGGAAAGGAACAAACAATTGGAAATGTTTTCAGAACAATTTAATACATGGAAAGTATTATACAGACTATAGACTAAAATCCTATTGCATAGTTACATTTGTGGAAAGCAATCAGTCTAACTTCCAGCAGCTTCTCAATGGCAATTAATGAGTTCCAGTTCGGATTTTTGGGGACATGACAACTCAGTAGATGGGCACAGATCTGAAAATCCAAGCAAGAACTAATTAATTAGTACCAATAAGTTTCTGTAAGTGGCACAGTTTGCCTTCTGCGGGCATCCTCGAGCAACAGGATTTTGGCCATAAAAAAGAGATTCAGCCCAAACTCAGTTAGTTGCACTGAGCTCTCACAGAATTGCATCTTTGAAAACTTAACTTCATGGAATGTCAATGTGATGTAGTAATTAGAGTGTCAGGCTAAAACTTCGAAAGTGTGAGTTCAAGTCTAGTTTTGGCAGTAAGCTCACAGGAGGACACTTGAGCCAGTTACAAGACGCCTAGCCTAGCTTACCTTACAGCAGTGGTCCCCAACCATGGGCCTCCAGATGTTCTTGGACTTCAACTCCCAGAAATCCTGGTCAGCAGAGGTGGTGGTGAAGGCTTCTGGGAGTTGTAGTTCAAGAACATCTGGAGCAAGACTCCTAGCCTAGCTTACCTTACAGCATTACTGTGAGGGTGAAATGTGCGAACAAGCCATGTATACTGCCTTGATCTCCTTTAAAGGAAAGATGACATATAAATATGAGAAAAAATTTAAGTCATGATTAGCTTGCTCTATTGACTTCATTGGAGGAGCTCTGAAGATGAAATGTAACCACATTCAGTCGAACATAGTTACTAAGCTCCATGCCATCAGTAAGCCTGCCAATGCAGAGTTCGTAAAGCAAGGTTCCTAACTATATGGAATTCTAACTACTTTCAGACTGATGTAATTATATTTGTGTTTTGGGACTTCCCAGGAAATCCATGCTGTTTTGCCAGGTGGTGGGATCACAGTGCCTATTTTCGTTCCCTTTCATGCTTGCTATTTTGGAGAGAGCTTATGTGTAGCTTATATTGTGCAAATGTAACTGTGGAAGTTTCTGCCTATTGCTAAAAGTGATCTTAACCCAAACTAAGCTGGAAGAAGAATGGAGTTAACACCATTCTGGCACATCTGTGCTCACCTGGCTATGTGGTAGAATAGTGTCCACTCTAAGGTAAAGTTATAGCTGTCTTTTTGACGATTGTATGTAAAATACATTCAGACCTTTCCAGTAATCTGGATTCTTCAGAAATAAAATTCCAGATTTCTGGGCAGTAACTCAGCTATTTGGAGGTAGGCATTGGCCCTTCTATTTTTAGGGAGATGTGCATACATGTCCCTTGGTTACCTTTTTTCAAATAATCACTTTGTGATGGACTACACATGCAGAACTGAGAAACGGAGAGTGCTTGTAGCGCTATGGGGCTTACACATGCAGAACTGAGAAATTTGGCTGTTTCAGCAGATAAAGACTTCCATTAAGACAGTCTTAATTGTGACAGAAGCCACAATATTCTGTCCATCTTGTATGAGAGACTGACTGCCTTAAATGTTTGGACTGTAAGTGCGAGTTTTAAGGGATACAGTGTGGCAGAGGTGTCATGGAGCAGGTAAGATGATAAAAAGGAGAAGCTTCCTGGGCAGAATTCCTTAAGCCAGATATTCTAGGCCAGCCTTCTGGTTAGATTCCTATCCTCCCCAGTCAGCAAACCAACATAATTTTAGCTTAATTGTATGTTTTCTTTGCTCTATAGTCTGAAATTTGATTTTAAGATATTGATTGGTTTATAATTTTGTTTTTTGTTTTTTCCTCTAGTATGGCATTTCTTTCCCTGGTCCTGCAATTAATCTTAATCATGATCATGCTGGAGCTAATCAGTATTCATACTGTCTGTGAAAAGAACGCTTCTGAATATCAGCAGTACCTAAAGTGAGTGCATTCTAGCTTCAGATGCAAGACCTGAAACTGCTGCTTTTGTCAACTTGATTATTACCTATTATTTACATTATATTATTCTCCTCTTTGCATTTCATTATTAACGTACAGCTATGGTGAAGGGACAGGGAATGGTCCTGGCATCATACCAGGAGCTCTGTATGGTTTTTCTTACTTTCCAAAAGCATCTATGGGCCTGTCGAGACAATAAAACATGGATGTCATTAATATGCATGGGATTTATTTATTTATTTTCTTTAAAGATAACAGCCATGAGGGGAGAGTCAGGATGGGGGACCATGGTATCCCTTCCTTCCTAAACATTTGCTGTTTCTTCTCCCTGGAAGGAGCAGCCATTTTGGGAAGGGGAGACTCATTGGTTCAAAGGCAAGGACCACAACTATACTTGCAGAAAGGACCAAAATTGCTTAGCAGTAACTGAGGTTATTTCATCTGATGCAGGCTCTGGTGCGGCTTTTAAAAAGAATGCATTAGTGCCTTTCTAAAACTGTGTCAGGGCTTCTGTTGTTTCCAGTCAGGGGTGGGAAGCTTCCCAGATGCTGACGGCTCAGGGGTCAGGGTATGACCTGTGGCAAAACCAGAGTCATTGGAGCTGCTCCGTAGGCAAGAACAGCCTTTGCTGCCCGGCCGGTGCTCTGGATGCTTCCTGGCCACCTCAGCCGGCTTAGTGTTTTAGTGCATTAAAGATTTTCTTTGATGTGGAACGTGTGAAACAAGTGGTTCCCTGGCCATTTTTAGGTAACCCACCATTAAAAAAAAAGAAGAAAAAACCTTGCTTGGGGTTATCTAAAATGTATTGTTCCTGCCAAGTTAAATGCAATAATACATTTACTGCATTGTCTGTGTTACCGCTCACTGTCTACGGCTGCGATCCCTCTAATCCTTTGGCTAACAAGCAGACCCCATCGGACACAGTGGGACCACTTGCTGAACAAACTGACATAGAATTGCACTCTAGTTCCTATCTTGCCTTAGCTGTGAATGGATGGGAATAATTGCTTTTATAGAAATTTGGACTGACTGTTTGCAAACCATGATTAACCGATTCTAAAAAAGCTTTTAAAATAAAAAGTCATCCTCAGAGTTGTTTTCTTGCTCCTCACAGGTTTCTAAAGTTGATTTTGCAGTATACTGAGAACCTGACGACTTATACAAGCCAAGAAAAGAATAAATGGGATGAAACTGCGCAGCTTACCCAAAAAGCATTGCTAAAAATGAGAACTTTCTTAGGAAAACAGCTAATGCTTGTGCACCTGGCACATCAAAGAACATGATCCTGAACACATCTGTGTAGTTTTATGTTCAATGGAGGTTGCTGCTTGCTTTCTTTTTTGTCTTTTTAAAGTGCATTCCTTGATAGAGACTATCCAAATGTATGTGTGTGTAAATTGTTCGATCAATAGCACTGCAACGGTTTGTTTCCTTTCTTTTGGGATAAAGAATCATCTTTTCTGGGTGAAAATGTAGCACATTCAGCTGTGCAGCTGATACATTTGTTTTGTCCAGATAATTGTTTTTGTTGATGAAGTGTTCATTTGATGTATTTGGGAGTGTACAATATATTTAGATGAATGTGCAAAAACATACTGAACTGGGAGTACATATTTGTTTGATCTGAAGGTGACTAGGGGGCAGAGCAAATAGCACTGTTCACCACAAGGTGGAGCAACACGCCAGCAAATCTTTACTCCATTTGGCATTTGTAGTGTTAAACAAGTGGCAACTGCTTTATACTGAGAAAAGAGAAAATCACAGCGAATAGACAGTATATACTGAGTTCTTTGCACCAAAGGAGAAGGAGGGTGGAATTTCCCAATAAACCTCAACCACAGAGGCTCTAGGACAATAGTTCCCAACCTTGGGTCTTCAGATGTTCTTGGACTAAAATTAGCTGTGCTGGCCAGTGCCGGCAGTTGTAGTCCAAGAACATCTGGAGACCCAAAGTTAGGAACTTTTGCTCTGGAGATTGCTCAGGTGAGTCACTGTACTGTATATATTCTCTTGCAGTTGCTGCACCTGCCATTTTGCAGAGCTGTAGAGGAAAGTGACTTACATTGCTATGTGGTAGCCTTTAAATGTTCTGGAACACACACACACACTCTCTCTGCTCACTCAGCTTACTCAAACATTATTACACTATAAGTGTTGGAGCGTATGGGTGATTGTGGAAAGATATAGGCCTTGATTGGGTAGATCACACAGTGTGGGTGTGAGGATTCCTCCCTGACACAGCCTACCAGTTTAGCAGTGACTAATTGTTCTGTCTCCATGTTGTGACTGGGTATGAAATGCAAACGTCACTACTACATCTGGCATGATTTTTATTGTTTCCCCCACATGCCCTGCTTTTGTACAGTCTGAACTCACGAGGAGCTATGTTGACTTCAAATGTATGCATACTATTTAGTGACACTTGGCTTCATCAAATAAAAGTTTTGTGGATTTTGGCAACGTGTGGTTGCCTTTTCTTTGTCTTTGCTTAGTTTAGGATATGAAGTAAAACAACTAATGGATTTTGTGTTTTGGCAGTTAAGCATTAATTGGGAGGTGTGGTGATGATCAACCCAATAACATGTATGTGCTGTCTGGAACATGAATTAGTTGACAAATTTTGATTTTGAAAAAGCTACCCTCGAAACTTAAGATAATGGGTAATTACAGAAACCACACACAAGGGGGCAGTGTTCCATAATTTACCAATATTTTATTCTTCTTTCTGTTTGTGTTCTTGCATAGTAACAAATATTTCTCTGCACTATCCATTCTTTCCTGATGGAGACTTTTTTTATTATTTCTTTGAATTTCAAAATCAAATGCCAGTATGCTGAATTTTTTTTTTAATTTCTTGTCTTGGAAGACTTACAGTGGTAACTGCATGTTCAACTGTCATCTTGCTCTCTTGAGCATACTTTAGTCAAGATTGGCAGAACTGGCGGCTCTTTGTTGGTGAGTAAGACTGGCCAGTTGTATGTGCTACACTCTAATGTGAGAGCCAGTGTAGTGTAGTGAATAGAGTGTCAGACTGGGACCCTAGAAATCTGGGTTCAGATCTCCACCTGGTCATGACAACCATACTGCTAAAAACCACCCCTTTAATATCTCACATACTGTGGAAACCTTACTAAGATTGCTAAAAGTCGGAATCAACTTGGTGGTGCTTCTCCCTCCCCCAATCTTATAAACGTTAGTACCCCTGTATCAGCAGGGATTGATTCTGAGACCCTGGCAGATGCAGAAAAGAACGGATTATAGCAAAAAACTGTAATAGCGTACAGTCGTACACTATACATAGCATGGTTTCTTGCTCCCCGGCAGATGCTGAAAAGCACGGATTATAGCAAAAAATTGTAATAGCATACACTATACATAACATGGTTTCTTGCTCCCTCTAGTGGCCAGTTCTGGTAACTTCACCTTTAGAAACATATTTCTGAGGTTTTTCTTTTAACATTTTTAATGTTGTCAAGCCGTGGATAAATGGATATAGTGGATACAGGAGTCCTACTGTATGTTTAGAAATGCCTAACAGTCCTATCATGTAGTTCTTGTAGGGTACGTTTGTCTGACTTCCCAAATTTGTTTTACATACTTTTCATACATTATCTCGTGCTTTAAAAGTTCTTATCAGTTCCTTATACAGTGTTCTATATTCTTTATAAAGTATATTCTACCCAATTTCTTGCCAGGGGATGAAGTAATGTTAGGTTCTCAGTTTAAGGATCCTGCAGTCACGGCCACCCTGTTTAGATAATTATTTTTCAAAAGATAGTAGGCCAGCACAGCTGGATTTGGGGGCATTTAGCACAAGCTGCTGTGTGGGGCTCTGGATATCTGTCCCGATGGCCCCACCACCCCTTGCTGCCACTAGATTGTCCTCCCTTGGTGAACATTCCATTTTGTACACGTTGCTTCTCAAATTGGAGCGGAGGGTCAAACCTCTGCAGGAGAACACAGGCTTTTAAAAGTCAAGGAAGATGTACAATAATTTATATTCTACAGAAGGGAAGACGTTTCAGACCTGTGGACTGCAACACATTGGGGCTGGTGAGGGGTAGAGTCATATGAGCCCTGGTTACGTTTTACGTGTCTTCATAAGAGAGATGAAGAGATAAAGGCTGGCTCTGGAGCCAAGGGGAGGGAGTGTAGAGTTTTACAGGAAAGAGTCTTACAAAGCCAGTGTTTCTCTGCTGCACTCTTTTGTGTCTGTATTTTCTGAACACATTATTTGGGTTTATTTTTCAGTAAAGGTATAGTATAGTATGCGATACCATAGTATACCCAGTATGGTGTCGTAGATAGAGTGGCAGACTAGGAACTCGGGAGGCCTTGATTCAAATCCTCATGCAGCTATGGGGAACTCACTGGGGGTGTGGACCTGGTAAAACCATTCCTTATATATCTCAAACGTCCTATTAGGTTCCATGATAAGTCAGTTCCAACTTTGACAGCACATAGCGCAACATAATATAGCATAGTATGGTAGCTATAATGGCTTTTAAAAAGCTGGAGCATTATTCTATTTCATAGCTGACTTTTTCTTTAAAAATGTATCTGATAAATAAAACGAATAAAATTTCAGAACAGTATGTGGTATAAAGTAAAACCTCTTCTCCAAAAACAAAGTTTTATTATTGTTATTACTATGGTTGTTTGTTTATTTGTTTATTTGTTTGTTTGTTTGTTTATTTATTTATTTATTTAACTTATATGCTGCCCACACTACCCAAAGGTCTCTGGGCAGCTTACAATTAAAATGCAATTAAAATACAGTAAAAGATAACTAGCAACCATTGTAGGTATCACCATCATTGTTAACCATTTAATGACAACAGCTTAACAAGGGCCACTTTACACTTTTTGAAACTGGCCCTTGTTGGGAGGGGAGAGAATCGTTTTCATTTCCCACATTCCGCCCCCCCCCCCATAACTTATTAAAATTGCTTTACACTTTTTGAAACTGGCCCTTGTTGGAGGGGAGAGGATCGTTTTCATTTCCCACATTCCCCCCCCATTAATTAGCCAACTTGTAACTACATTCACTTCAGAGTTCTGCATATCTATGTTGCTTTATTACTCTCTGTACAAGAAAGCTGTGTGTATAGTTGTTCTTTGAGCCTGCTTTTCAGGACCTTGCAATGGCCATGGACTGCAGGGCCACACATAAGACAAAGTAAAATCAAAAGCAGGAACCCGTTGATTAAATGTTTTAGTAGCTGTGCTTGTCAAGTGAGACATATTTTACTTCATGAGGTGTGTGTGCTGTTTGACTGCACTTGAATGTTTCAAATGTTTGAAAATTATTAATACATGAGTATAAAGGATACTTCCTGATAAGCTGCCTTATTTTTCTCTTCCATAGCTGGCCAGCCTCAGACATGGATTTTTACAGAGGAGCTCAGATAATGAGATCTTCCGTTTGTTATATATGTTTTATTATTGCTTCTTCCGCTTTGCAATTGTAATAAGTACCTGTAGTATCATAGTGTTATATCCCTGGTATGCTAGACTTTTGTTTAAAAGCCCCTGAAATGGCAGCCAATGGAACAGGCAAAAATTCATGTGAGGCTGAGGAGTATTAGCACTTTCGGACCCTTTGTTCAGCTTCTGTGAAGAAAGCAAGGCGATTCCACAATAAAAGCTTCCACTGAAAGTACCCTACGTGTACCGTGGCTTTTGGTGGGATTTGAACTCTCAAGGTGGTCGTGGGTCATCAAGCAGTTAAATTCGAAACACTTGTACTTTTGCACTGGGCTTATCTATGTCCTTGACTTGTATCTATTTTTTTCCCTCACCCCACCAACTTTAGAGGGAATATGGAAAATACAGGCCATCCTTGCACTTATTAAATGAATGTACTCTTGAGAGGATTGCAAGAAAATGAAGGGGAACAATACCTGTCCTTGAAATTGCCAGTCCATGATGCCGCATGGAGAAGAGGTATTGTGTATGTTACTATAATGTGGCATCAAGGTGTCACAAACGGGATGAACAAATGTTGCTGACTTGACCGTTTATGTGTCTTTAAAAAAGTGAATCTTATGACGAACACATCTCTAGGGAGGCAGCTGAGGGATAATTGCAGAAGTGATCGCTGCTAAATTGATGGCATGTCTGGGGCCCCTGGAGTCATATGCTGTAAAAATGGATAGGGGATTTTTTTTGAGTGATGAATAATGGCATTGGAAGGGGGAGTAAGTAATAGCTACAGTGTGCAGATGTGTCTCAGCACCTGCCTTTCCATATCCATGATTTAGTGGGGTGCTCGTAACAGGCCCCTTTCCATTTGAGGTTAATTTGTATCTGGACTGATTGAATTGAAAAGAGGAATCTTCAGCGTTTTATCTGGTGAATTTTAAAGTAAAAGCTGTGACATTTGGCCTTCCCTTCATTTTAAGCATCTTGTTCTTGTTTGAAAGAGTCCCCAAAAAGCTGTACAAAATGCTTTATTTTGAAAATTACAATCCAAAACATCCAGAGTCATCTAGGCTGAGGAACACCATTCTAAGTACTGTAGTAAGAAATCCTGCAATGGGAAAAGTGTAGTGTGAAGAGGCTCTACTAACGTATGGGAAGAACACTTCGCTGTGCTTCTTGGAGCTCAGAACCACCAGGTTAATTATTTTCAGTGCTCACAAATCAGCAGAGTCTTGAGCGGCCTTAATACCAGTGAGTTAAATCCTCATCTAGCTTGGTGAGGACCATTGCAATGCAGCATTTGAAGACTGTTCAGACATTATGGTTAGCTCAAATAACATTAAAAAACAAACTTCCCTTCTCTATATTAAATCAGTTTGTTAAACTGATAGCAAAATAAAATAGACCAAAAAAAAATCATTTCACAGAGTAAGAAATCCTGCTATGAGAGAAGGGGAGTGCTGTGG